CACTTGGAACAGGATTTATCAAAGAAACAAGAACCCGCTTCTCGGAGAAATAAGAAATCTGGATGGATTGGGAGGAGGCAATGTCCCCGAGGACGGTTATTCGGGGCTTGCATCCGTGGACCGGAACGGCAGAAGGATCATCGCCGCAGTGGCGGGATTGAATTCCGACAAGCATCGGCTTCAGTCGCTGAACGAGGTTATCGGCGGCGCCTGGGAATTCTACTCGGTTCAGACAATCTATCCGGCCGGTGAAAAAATCGCTGACGGCAAGGTTTACGGAGGTATGGAAAGCACCGTGCCGCTTGTTGCGAAAACCGATATCGACGTTCTGCTGGCGCGTGGAGGCAGCCTGGAGTATCGCCTTCGTGTGGTCTACGATGGTCCATTGATGGCCCCCGTTGAAGAGGGAACGCGGGTCGGCGAATTACGGGTCATTGGCAAGGAAGGCATCGTCTACCGGGCGCCGCTGGTCACCGGTGGTGCGGTGGCTGAAGGGACGATGATGAACAGGGCTGTCGACGGTCTGCAGGAACTTCTTTTCGGCTGGATCGGATAACTGCTCTCCGCACCATAAACATTTGCGCAAATCCCTGCTAAAAGCCTGCGGGTCAATGGGTATCCGATCGGAAACGATTGAAACTTGCGAGTGGAGCCAGGAACAGTTTGCCGGGACATTTCATAACATTTGAAGGTGGAGAGGGCGCAGGCAAGTCGACTCAGATTGTTCGGCTGAAGGCCTTCCTGGAAAGTTTCGGGAAATCCGTCATCGTCACGCGGGAGCCCGGTGGTTCTCCCGGAGCAGAAAAGATCCGTTCAATGCTTCTGTCCGGCGGGGCAAAGGACCTAGGACCGCGCGGTGAAGCAATGCTGTTTGCCGCAGCCCGTGCGGATCATGTCGACGTGACCATCAAACCGGCACTGGAACGCGGTGACTGGGTCCTTTGCGACAGATACGCTGATTCAACGCGTGTCTATCAGGGCGAGGCCGGTGTCGATCAAGACTATCTGAAACTGCTCGAGACAGCTGCCATTGCCGGCTTGCATCCCGACATGACGATCCTGATCGATGTTCCACCTGAAATAGGTCTCAGCCGTGTTGCCAAAAGATCCGAGAGCGATGAAAGCGGCGGGCCGGACCGTTTCGAAGACGAGGCTGTCGCAGTACACGAACGGCGCCGGAAACTGTTCCTTCAGTTGGCTCTGGAAGAAGCTTACCGGTTCACCATCGTGGATGGTTCCAGGGACGAGGATTTCACGGAACAGGCAGTCCGCAAGGCGGTTCTGGAGGCATTTTCCGGGGATCTCGTCGACATGGGCAAGTTGTCGCAAAGATCAGAGGTTCATCTCTGATGGCCCGCAGAAACGAACCGGTCGAAATTCCGGAAGTCGATGCAATCGCGGGATATCCGCTGCCACATGAACAGAAATTGCTGATCGGGCATCGTGATACAGAGCGTGCACTGCTGAACGCCTATCGCTCGCAACGTTTGCATCATGCCTGGATTTTGGGCGGCCCCAAGGGGATTGGCAAGGCGACGCTGGCATTTCGGTTCGCGAAATTCGTCATTGCGAACCCTGACAGGTTCGGAAGTGTTGCCGCTGCGGCGCAGAATCTGAGCGTACCGGAGGACCACCCCGTTACGCGCCAGGTAACAGCCGGTGGACATCCCAACATTCTTCATCTTCGGCGTCCCTGGGATGAAAAAGCGAAGCGTTTCAAGGCGGATCTTCCGGTTGACGAGGTCCGGCGTACAGTCTCGTTCTTCGGCACGACTGCCTCAGCCAAGGCATGGCGCATCTGCATTGTCGATGCTGCGGACGACATGAATGCAAGTTCCGCCAATGCGCTTTTGAAGACCCTGGAAGAACCCCCGGAGCGCTGCCTGTTTCTGGTTCTCAGTCACGCGCCGGGACGATTGCTGCCGACGATCCGTTCCAGGTGCCGCCGCCTGGACATGTCCCCCCTCGTTGTGACGGAGATTTGCGAGGGACTTCAGGCTCTTGCCGGCAATGCTGCGCCTGCATCTGACGATCTGACCGACCTTGCCCGCATTGCAGATGGCAGCCTGCGCTCGGCCATATCATTGCTGTCGGGTGACGGGCTTGAAATTGCAAAGGGATTACGCCGTCTGGCCGACAATTCCGCGCAACTGGATCTTGCCGCCGTACACACGCTTGCCGATCTCGTTTCCGCGCGAGGACAGTCGGACAACTGGGATAATTTCCGGCATGTTCTTGGGGTCTGGCTTCACGAACGCATGCGTCAGGACGTGCAAAATGGAGTGCGGCAGGCCTATCGCTATGTCGAACTGTGGGAAAAGACCAACCGTGCAATAAGCGATGCCGAAGCGCTCAATCTGGACCGGAAACAAGTGGTTCTCGAGTTTTTTTTCGCGCTGCGCGCTGCGTGAGCAACACGGTACTTGGGTAAAAATCCGATTCCGGGTATCAAGGCGCGCCGTAACATATCGCTTTGCAGTCATTTACAGTTCCAGGACACTTCATGCTTGTCGACAGCCATTGCCACCTAGACTTTCCGGATTTTGACGGCGAGCGAGACGCCTTGATCGCGCGCGCGCATGAGGCTGGCGTCGGCCTGATGGTGACGATCTGCACCCATATCCGAAAATTCGACAAGATCAGGGCGATCGCCGAAGAATACCCGGAAGTCTATTGTTCTGTCGGTACCCATCCGCATAATGCCGGCGCTGAACGCGGAATTCCGGTCGAGGAAATCGTCTCCCTGGCGGCACATCCCAAGGTCGTTGCGATTGGAGAAGCAGGCCTGGATTATTTCTACGACAAGTCCCCGCGCGACGCCCAGGCTGAAGGTCTCCGCACCCACATTGAAGCCGCCCGGCAAACCGGTCTGCCCCTGGTCATTCACTCCCGCGATGCCGATGAAGACATGGCTGAAATTCTCCGCGATGAAATGGGGAAGGGGGCCTTCCCGGCCCTCCTGCACTGCTTCTCATCCGGCCGCGAGCTTGCGATGACCGGCATTGAACTTGGTCTCTATGTTTCCTTTTCCGGCATCCTGACGTTCAAGAAATCCGAAGAATTGCGTGAAATCGCGAGGGAACTGCCGCCGGAACGGCTCCTGGTTGAGACCGATGCACCCTACCTGGCACCGCAACCAAGGCGCGGCAAGCGCAATGAACCGGCCTATACGGCGATGACTGCTGCCGTTCTTGCTGAGGTTCGGGGTGTTTCGGCAGAAGAAATAGCGGCCCAGACAACTGAAAACTTCTTCCGCCTCTTCAAGAAAGTACCCGGAAACGCAGGGCAGACAGGAGTTGTCTCGTCATGAGTGTAGAACTGACCATTCTCGGTTCAGGATCTTCTGCCGGCGTACCCCGAATTGGCAACGACTGGGGCGCGTGCGATCCCGATGAGCCGAAAAACCGGCGTTCACGTTGTTCTCTGCTGATTGAAAAACGCGGTGAATACGGCTGCACGACGGTGCTGGTCGACACGGGGCCTGACCTCAGGCAACAAATGCTTGCAGCAAATGTCCTCCATGTGGACGCTGTCCTTTACACCCACCCACACGCCGATCACCTGCACGGAATAGACGACTTGCGCGCATTCTGGCTTCTCAGTCGTCGCCGCATGCCTGTCTACATGGACACGGAAACCTATCTTCACGCCCGTCAGGCCTTCAAATACTGTTTTGAAAAGCCAGCCGGCTCCAATTACCCGCCAATTCTTGAACATCGGCTGATCGAACCTGGCAAGCATGTCGAGATCATAGGCGACGGCGGAACACTGACCATTGAGCCTATACCGGTAGCGCACGGCGAAATTGATGCGCTTGGTTTCCGGATAGACGATGCCGCTTATGTACCAGACGTCTCGGATATCTGTCCAAATAGCCTCAACAGATTGAAAAAACTCGACTTATTGATCCTGGATTGCCTCCGAAGAGCTCCACATCCGAGCCATTTCTGCCTGGAAGACTCGCTTGACTGGACGGGGCGCATCGCACCTAAAAGGACCATTTTTACCAATCTGCACTGTGATCTGGACTATCAAACTCTGCGTGACGAGTTGCCGGAGAACATTGAACCGGCGTTCGACAATATGCAGATCGACCTGACCGAGCTGGCCGAAGGAATCCACACACCAACACATGCCGGATAAGTCACGACCAAAACTACCGACCGTGGACAGATTGACCAGAGTGGCGATCCACTATCTGGAACGCTACAATTCATCTGCAAGCAACCTGAAAAAGCTCCTGGAACGCCGGGTTCTGAAAGCTTGTCGACATCATGAACGTGACCCTGGCGAATTCACGGAGATGATCGAAACCGTCGTTGAAAAATGCGTCAAAGCCGGTCTTGTGAACGATCGAACCTACGCGGAAACAAAGACGGCCAGTCTCAGACGTCGCGGCAGTTCCAGGCGCAAGATTGAAGCACAGCTGTCAGCCAAGGGTGTCGATCGCGACACAATCCAATCTGTACTCAACGACGACCAGGCGTCAGATGCCGAAGCAGCTAATGTCTATGCACGACGGCGTCGGCTTGGTCCGTTCAGAAAATCCGCCGACAGGATTGAGCGACGCGACAGGGATCTGGCGGCGATGTGCCGTGCGGGATTTGCGTTCGACATTGCCAGGCGGGTCATAGATGCAACGGACGAAGACGAAGGCGCTTAGTGCGACTTTATCAAGGCACGGATGCATAGACACGGCTAAACCTCTGAGAACGCGCGCCGTTTCACTTGTATAAAAATATTCCATAATATTGATTATGCGAATTGACTATACACATTGGTCACACCTGTCGATGCCGGTCTCCATCTCCCCTGATGGATGGATCGGATCTCACCCTGATGAAAGCATCTTCAAAACCAACGTCTGGGTGAGACAGCGCGCTCCCAGACAAATGTTTGGGTTCCATTCAGGACATACTAGCGCGTTCAGAACCTTGCGGGTAACAAACAGCCATGGCCTTGTGTCCGGCAATTGGCGGATCCGGATTTTCAAGACCAGCCTAGTAAACGCCCTGGAGCAGACCGATCCCACCACCACCAAGGTCCGGCAAACTTGCCAGCGGCGCAGAGAGTATGCGGCTTGCGCTGTCAAATGCCTTCAGATCAAAGCGCGTAAAATTGAGCGCCTCATAAGCCCTGACATGATAGTGGCAGCGTGCCGTGTCGGAGAGCTGGGTCCACGTGGTGTATTCGGTCGAAATCTCGCTGTTCTCAAGCCCCAGGGTTTCGCCGAACGCGTCGCCTGTTTCGGGATCCGTAACCGACAACCCGCGCACCCGATCGAAATTGTTCATGATATGACTGAGTGTGCGCACGGCTACGTCAGGGTCGCGAACCTTCTCGGCAAACGTTGCAAAATAGGCAGCCTTGACGAACCGGCCGACAGACGTCGTGTCTGACGGAATACCCGCCATTGAAATACCGGCATCCGGCTGGCGTAAATCCAATTGTCCTAGTCTTCCGGCTGACCGGTCCCGATTGTCCAGATGTGCATAGTTGTTGATGTTGATCAGGTGCCAGGAGAACTGCGGTCCGTTTGTCATAACACCGACGGGATTATCGTAAATTGTGAGCTTTCCCTCGTGGAACTCGATGACAATCGCGTCGCCCTCACGGTCGTAGAGCGAATAGTGAAATGGCGGCTGGCTGCCCATTCCGTCAAGTGGTTCCAGCTTCAGTGTAACCGCCTCCAACGCGGCACGAACTTCGTTGACGGTCGAAAACTGTCCGAGCGCCCAGGCGCCCAGATCGATCACATTGAGCCCCGATGCCTTGGAAAGACGCTCCGGTTGCGGTCCGCCTGAATCGGGATACGCGAGGACATTGAATACAAGTCCGGCAGAATTCATGCCATCCACAATGGTATGGTTCTGGAAGGTCCGTGGCGCTGGCCGCACCTCTGGCGGAGCGCAAAAAACCCCGACAATTCCGTAGTTTGTGACGAAACGTAGAGGCGTATCACTACCTGCTGTTTCAGATGTCCAGGCCTGGCCCTGTGGAACAAAGGCAACCTCATAGGCCAGTTGCGCACCGAGTTCCATCGTGCGCCCGCAATAAGCACGCCCCTTGGCGTCCCTGTAAATCAGTGACGTGCACACAAGCAATCCCCCACCACATGTTCAAAGAACAGAAACAGCCCCGGCCTGAAACGGATGTACGACCGGAAAAGCCCACCTTTAGTGCTCAGTCGTCCAACTTCCCTGCCCGACCTCGCATTTTCTTGATCTGGCCGCGCTGCTTCTTCGCATCCAAACGTCGTTTTTTTGAACCGAGCGTCGGCTTTGTTGCCTTGCGCGGTTTTGGTTTTTCGGTCGCCCTGCGCAGCAGTTCAAGCAGCCGTTCGAGCGCATCCTCGCGATTGCGTTCACGGGTTCGAAACCGGTCAGCCTGAAGGATGATTTCACCATGCAGTGTCAGCCGGCTGCCGGCCAGTCTTGCGGCCCGGGACTTGACGTCCTGCGGCAAGGTTTCGTTGCCGGCCAGATTGAACCGCAACTGGACCGCCGTTGAAACCTTGTTGACATTCTGACCGCCCGGTCCGGAGGCGCGAACGAAATCTTCAGTGAGATCATCCTTCAGGATATGAAGACTTCCGGTAACCGGAATACGTTTGGAGGCAAAAGGGTCCGAGGGATCATCACTCATGTTCAGTCGTCGTTACCTGGTGCTGTCAGGCCGACCCCGTTCAAGATCAGTGTTGTAATAGAGGTTTCCGTTTCCTTGAAAAACACTGGGTCGCTCAGGTCTTTGCCTGTCAAGGCCCTGATCTGGATCGAAAAATCGGCGTAGTGCTGCGTGGTCGCCCAGATCATGAATATCAATTGCACCGGGTCGACCTGACGCATTTTCCCGGCGTCGATCCAGTCCTGGATGACCCTGGATTTTTCCGAGACCAGGCGTCTGAGATCTCCTTCCAGTATCGGAAGGATCTGCGGCGCGCCTTGCATGACCTCGTTTGCAAACAGTCTGGAGGCTTCGGGAAATGTCGCCGACATTTCTATCTTTTGGCGAATATACGCTGCAAGCTCCCGCGCCGGCTCACCTCCGGGATCCAGAGTTTTCAGCGGAGCGAGCCAGACCTCGAGGATATGCGCAAGTGTTGCCTTGTAGATCGCTTCCTTGGACGAAAAATAGTAAAGCAGGTTCGACTTCGACATGCCCGCTTCTGCCGCGATCCGCTCCACTGTTGCCCCGGAAAAGCCCTTTCTGGAAAACTCACTCAACGCGGCATCTAGAATAAGAGAACGGTTCCTTTCCTGGATCCGGCTCAAGCCTCCGTTCTTTGGTGTATCAGACGCCTGCCCGCCAAGACTCATCATGAAAAATTCCGATCACAGCCGAAATGGCTGCCCTTCCGATTGCCATTTTTGCGGGCGAATCCCCCAACCGAATTCACTCCGCACCGGATCGTACCAGACGCTTCCGACAGCGTTAGACCAGAATTTGGTCACATAGATCGGAATTGCATCTTGACCATTTGGTCAAATTACACCTAGGGTAAATTGACCAAGTGGTCAGAAGGCTAATCGATCATTAGACGACCCGCAACGGGAGAAGTCTTGAAGGTTCGGTTGGATCTGACCATCATAAACAAAACCGGCAAAAGCCGGACGAGGCCAAAGGCCGGACAGAGGATAACAGGCGTTTCGCTCGGGTTGGATTACCTCGCGAAGCGCTTTGAACAGCGTGGGGAGAGGACCAGTGCTGCCGGAACTGCCGATGCTGCAGGACGGCGAACCGTGACTTTCTCTCCTTCACATGACGATCAACAGACGATCTGCTCAGGCAGACGCAAGGAGGATGCATGTCAGCTCCAAACCATGCTGCAACCAATAACCTCGAAGCCTTCTGGATGCCCTATACGGCCAATCGGCAGTTCAAACAGGCGCCGCGCATGTTCGTATCCGCAAAGGACATGCACTATACCACTGCCGATGGACGCCAGGTTCTTGATGGTACGGCGGGTCTTTGGTGCTGCAATGCCGGACACTCACGACCAAGGGTCGTCGAGGCGGTTCAAAGCCAGATAGCAGAACTCGACTATGCGCCGGCGTTCCAGATGGGACATCCGAAGGCATTCGAGCTTGCCGCCCGACTTGCGGCCATGATGCCCTCTCCGCTCGATCACGTCTTTTTCACCAATTCCGGATCTGAAAGCGTCGACACGGCCCTGAAGATCGCCCTGGCCTATCAACGCGCCATCGGTCAGGGAACCCGGACACGGCTGATCGGCCGGGAACGCGGCTATCACGGGACCGGTTTCGGCGGCATTTCGGTCGGCGGCATCGTCGCCAACCGCAGAACATTCGGTACGATGCTGACAGGTGTCGACCATATGCGCCACACGCACGATCCCGAGCGCAATGCGTTCTCGCGCGGCATGCCGGAAGATGGAGCCGAATACGCGGAAGATCTGATCCGTATCATCCAGCTTCACGACCCCTCAACGATTGCTGCCGTGATCGTCGAACCCGTCGCCGGATCAACGGGTGTGCTCATACCGCCCAAGCACTACCTGGAACGACTGCGGGAGATTTGCACGCAGAACGGAATTTTGCTGATCTTCGACGAGGTCATCACCGGATTCGGACGCCTCGGGTCGCCTTTCGCGACCGATTTCTTCGGTGTGACGCCAGATCTGGTAACGACAGCGAAGGGCTTGACCTCGGGCGTCATCCCGATGGGCGCCGTCTTCTGTTCCTCCGACATCTACCAGGCCTTCATGACCGGCCCTGACCACATGATCGAGTTGTTCCATGGCTACACCTATTCCGGTCATCCGGTAGCCTGTGCGGCCGCACTTGCAACACTCGACACCTATGACGAGGAAGGCCTGCTTACCCGTGCAGCCGACCTTGCACAACACTGGGAAGACGGCCTGCATGCGTTGAAGGACTGTCCGAATGTAATCGACGTTCGAAACCTCGGCCTGATTGGTGCTGTCGAACTGGAACCCATTGCGGGAGAGCCGACCAAACGCGCCTTTTCGGCCTTCCTCAAGGCCTACGATGATGGCATCCTGATCCGCACGACGGGTGACATCATCGCCCTCTCCCCACCCTTGATCATTTCCAGGGATCAGATCGACGAGCTGTTCGATAAACTCCGGACAGTTCTCAACACCATCGACTGAGCCAGAAAGACGAAAGCTGAGCGTGATGCAAAGACCACTGGCGACCGCCACGCAACTGATCGACGACGACAGGGTCCGTGTGACTCGCTTCGACTTTGAACCGGGTGCGGAAACCGGCTGGCACCGGCATGGTATGGACTATGTCATCACGACATTGACGGACTGCCGGATGCTGCTTGAGGAACCGGGTGGTGAAAGCCGCGAAGTTCTCATTCCCTCCGGCACCGTCTATCGCCGCGATGAAGGCGTGGAACACAACGTAATCAATGGCGGGGACGCACCCATGTCCTTTGTTGAAACCGAATTGAAATAGGAGATTTCCAATGGCAGCTCCGGGCGAAAACCTGAGGATCAACGCAGACCGTCTGTGGGACAGTCTGATGGAAATGGCCAAGATCGGTCCGGGTGTCGCAGGTGGCAACAATCGTCAGACGCTGACAGACGAAGACGCCGAGGGGCGCAAGCTTTTCCAGAAATGGTGCGAGGAAGCCGGCATGACGATGGCCGTCGACACCATGGGCAATATGTTCATGACCCGCCCGGGCACGGATCCCGATGCCCTGCCGGTCTATGTCGGTTCCCACCTCGACACGCAGCCGACCGGCGGCAAATACGATGGTGTACTTGGCGTGCTCGGTGGACTGGAACTGGTGCGGACGATGAATGATCTTGGCCTCAAGACCAGGCATCCGATCGTTGTTACCAACTGGACCAACGAAGAAGGCACGCGCTACGCACCCGCGATGCTCGCATCTGGAGTATTCGCAGGGGTACATACCCAGGACTGGGCCTATGATCGTGAAGATGCGGAAGGCAAGAAATTCGGAGATGAACTGAAGCGCATCGACTGGGTAGGTGACGAGGAAGTCGGAGCCCGAAAGGACAAGATGCACGCCATGTTCGAACTTCATATCGAACAGGGCCCGATCCTGGAATCCGAAGGCAAGGATATCGGTGTCGTCACCCACGGCCAGGGCCTTTCCTGGACCCAGGTCACCGTCACCGGCAAGGACAGTCACACCGGTTCCACGCCCATGCCGATGCGCAAGAATGCCGGTCTTGCGATGGCGAAAATCCTCGAATTGGTTGACGAAATCGCCTGGTCTCATGCTCCGCACGCCGTCGGCGCCGCCGGGCATATCGACGTTTATCCAAACTCGCGCAATGTCATCCCGGGCAAGACTGTCTTCACCGTAGACTTCCGCTCACCGGATCTCGCCGTCATCAAGGACATGGAAGACAGACTGAAGTCCGGCGGCAAGAAGATCTGCGACGACATGGGACTCGACGTCGAATTCGAGAAAGTCGGCGGGTTCGATCCGGTCGAATTCGATCACGGCTGCGTCGATGCTGTCCGCAGCGCCGCCGAACGCCTCGGCTACAGCCACCGCAACATCATTTCCGGCGCCGGACATGATGCCTGCTGGGTCAACAAGGTCGCCCCGACAGCCATGATCATGTGTCCCTGCGTCGACGGCCTGTCACACAACGAGGCGGAAGAGATCTCACGCGAATGGGCCAAGGCCGGCGCGGATGTGCTCTTTCACGCGGTTGTCGAAACGGCGGTGATCGTTGGGTAACGATCTGTCTTGGGCCCCGGATCAGGTCCGGGACGGCGCAGAAGAGAGGAAACCGAAGCAAATTGAAAACGAGCTGCCACATCTCTCTCCACCGTCCCGGCCTTGAGCCGGGACCTGAAGCCAAAAACAACAAAGCCGTTCCAGCCCACGAGCCGGGACCAAATCCAAAAGCACTCAAAAAGGACCAATGACCTATTTCGTATACATTCTTGCAAACAAACCGCATGGAGCGGTCTACGTTGGTTCAGCACGAAATTTGCGGAATAGGATTGAGCAGCACAGAGCGGGAATACCTGGAAGCCACACGCAGAAATACAATATCAAGACG